AAAAAGATGGTTCCGAAATTAGAATTTAAACATAGACATGAATAAAGAGACTTTAAAAAAAAAGATGGTTCCGAAATTAGAATTTAAATATAGAAATGAATAAAGAAACTTTTTAAAAGATGGAAAAGTTTACAACAGTTGATAGTACAAGCCCAAAGTCTCTGCTTGTCTCATGTGTGAAAACGGTTCCATGACTAATGAACCTAAGACTAATGATCTTAAGACTAATGATTTTAAGACTAATGATCTTAAGACTAATGATTTTAAGACTAATGATCTTAAGACTAATGATCTTAAGACTAATGAACTTAAGACTAATGATTTTAAGACTAATGATTTTAAGACTAATGATTTTAAGACTAATGATCTTAAGACTAATGATCTTAAAACTACTGATCTCAGGCAAAATATTCCAGACAAGAAATCTCAATGGCAAAATATCCAAGAAAAAAATCTCAATCACATAATTTCCCTGACAAAAAAGAATCTGAATGACAAAATATCCCAGACAAAAAATCTCAATGGCAAAATATCCAAGAAAAAAAATCTCAATCACAAAATTTCCCTGACAAAAAAATCTCAATGACAAAATATCCCAGACAAAAAAAAATCAATGACAAAATATCCAAGACGAAAAAATCTCAATCACAAAATTTCCCTGACAAAAAAATCTCAATCACAAAATTTCCCTGACAAAAAAAATCTCAATCACAAAATATCCCTGACAAAAAAATCTCAATGACAAAATATCCCAGACAAAAAATCTCAATGACAAAATATATCAGGACAAGAGATGTCGCGGACACAATATCTCATGGGGCCCTCCCCCCCCCCCCCTCACCCCCGCCACACCCATCTTGTATAAAACATTATTCACCAGGGTTATTGGCAGCGTCGTTGGCTAATAGTTAAAACGCACTTGTCTAATTTGCAACTTAACATTTAACCATCGTCTACGTTTCTTTATTTATGTCTATTTAAAATCGAATTTTGTAAAGATCAGTTTTTTCCCCTTACATTCCTCTGTGCTAATCATAGAGACTTGGACAAACTTAAACTGTTCATTCTCTTATGGTTTCTATATTGACAAGAGACGAAATAGTCTCTATGCCTTTATAATATGGCCGACGGAAACAAGCCAAAATACACATACATCAATGATCAACGACTACCCTAGACTTGCTTTAAAGGATAAGCTGCTCAACAATAATAACGGCACGATTTGAGGGCAGAGGGGGGGGGGGGTCTGTTTCGGAAGTGGAGAGGGGGGGTGTTCTTCCATAAACCGGACGACACGCAAAGTTTTTAATCATACAACAGAAGCAACCTTTAACCCCGAGCTATTTTTAGAAGCGACCGAAATGGTTTCAACCCGCCTTGGTTAAGATTAAATGTGACGGTTTGATTGAAAAGCAAATTTATTTTTTAATTACATTCTTTATATTTTCGTGAGGTAATTTAATATAATTAGAACAAGCTTGAACGTCTAGTAATATTAACTACTGGTCACTTTTTAATACATTTCTTCCTGTTTTCATTTCAAACATTCTTCCTGTAATTAAAATCAAAACATTCGTTTTCAGTTTTCGCAATACTGTTATGCTTTTTTTCAATCAAAACTTATTATTTATTGATGGTTTTATTCAAGTCTTGGGTAATTCACTTTTGTCGGTTGTTGTTTTTTTGTGTTTGTTCCGTGTCACAAGTTTCTAATTTTGTGAAGTTTTTCTCTGTGTTTGTTCGTGTCACAGTTTCTAATTTTGTGAAGTTTTTCTCTGTGTATGTTCCGTGTCACAATTTCGTATAATTTTGTGAAGTTTTTCTCTGTGTTTTTTTCCGTGTCATAGTTTCTAATTTTATAAGTTTTTCTCTGTGTTTGTTCCATATCACAGTTTCTAATTTTGTATAAGTTTTTAACTGTATTTGTTTCGTGTCACGGTTTCTAATTATATGAAGTTTTTCTCCTTGTTTGTTCCGTATCACGGTTTCTAATTTTATGAAGTTTTTCTCTGTGTTTGTTCCGTGTCACAGTTTATAATTTTGTGAAGAGATTCGCGTGACGTTGAGGACAAAAGTCAGATGAAAGAATAAATGGTTTAAAAATATTTTTTTTAAATCTTGGGGGGGGGGGGGGGTGACTGAGGTCGTGGTGAGGGGTGGGGCGGTGTTTAGACAGGCGCGCGATGGGAGATTAATCTCTGCTGACGTGTGCCAGGGTGTAAAAAGACGAGTTGACGGACAGTTCGAACAGATAAAACCAACGGGGGGGGGGGGGGGGGGGGGTGAGGACGGTGAAGGAGAGAGGTGGTAGTGGTGGGGGTGCTGAGGTCTGGTTGTGGGTAGATAAGTTAAAACGTTAGTTTATAGCTCTCTTGTCTTGTTTATCGAGGTATGGGAATTGTGTATTTCAAATGAAGATTATCCATAAACCTAGCCATGACCCTAATCTCAATTCAAACCCTAACAGGAGAATTCTCACATTGTCTTCCCCTGCAGGCATTACAATAAGAACCGGTACCTTAATTCCTTACAGCCAGCGGTGATACTAACATTAACTAAATTGAAGCATAAATCTTTGTTTTACTTATTATACACACTACTATTAACCCTAACTCTAACTTTAAAACCGTTCTGTATTTCAAATCTCACTATCTAAGGTTCAGAAGTTTCTTAGTTTATATTTAAAGACACTTTGAAACCCAAACATGAAGACACATCTGATCCCCAACTTAAAGACAGATCGAAACCCCAAGTTAATGACACATGGTACATCTGAACCCAAAATTGAATACACATCCACACCCCAAGTTAAAGACACTTCAAAAAACCCAAGATAAAACATTAAAATCCAAAGTTGAAGACACATATAAACCCCAAGTTAGACAAATCGAAACCCCAATTTGAAGTCACATCTGAGCCCCAAAGTACGACACATCTGAACCCCAAAGTAAGACACATCTGAACCCCAAAGTAAGACACATCTCAACCCCAAAGTAAGACACATCAGAACACCAAAGTAAGACACATCTGCACCCCAAAGTAAGACACACCAGAACCCCAAACTAAGACACATCAGAACCCAAACCTATCACAGACAGCCCCACTCAGCAGACATCATTGACTGAACCAGCAGAAGATGTCTGGTGCCGATGTTCTCCATCATGGCGGTGCTTATAGGCCAGATCTATGTGTGTTTTACCCTCAACGGGAAGCTGGGAAAATATGGCTCGCGTTAGGAAGGGAAAGTGTGTGTCCATTTCTTCTTTCTCTCCTCCATACGGGTGGGAAATTGATATTACATTTGCACACACACACACACACACACACATATATATATATATATATATATATATATATATATATATATATATATATATATAGTGTATCTTTGTTAAAATTGTGTTAAAGAAAATATTAAAGTATCACGGAAACTATTATTCTTTTAAATTGTATTACGGTGATATTTTGTATGTTATTAAAAATAAATACCTGAAGCATATCAAATGAAAAAATAATGTAAATAATATTTTAATTTGATCCTGAACTGTTTTAAAATTAAAAAGAATTTTTTTCTGTAAATAAAATTATAAAAATGGCGAAACAACGATATTATTGTTGAGGGAAAGTGGCGTGGCATGGTCGGACAGTAGTGTGCATGATTGCTGATTCATAAAGTCCCGAGTTCGGATCCCAGACATATGACAGTTAGCTAGGAATAGTAACCGTATTAAAAATCTAAGAAAGAAACGTTAGCTGAAACCAGATTGAACTGGCCAGATGGTGTATAACATGTTGCCATGTAATGCTTAAATGTGATGGATGATATCCACTCCAATATTACATTTAAGAATGAAGACGAAGAAGTCAGAGGATAATTTACACCTAATGCCCCAATCATTCTAAAAATAGCACCGACACACTATCGACTTAACCAATCGTGCGTCATTCCCGACCAGCGACACCCATACCAAAATGGCGGTTGTAGTTTACCCCGAGTTACTCTCCCAAAAGTAAAGTTTATAAAGACTCCCTCCCCGTAAATCAATCCGGGTATCCTGCCCCGCCCAGGGGCCACACGACCTTGAGACTTGCCCCATACGCTCGTAATTTGCTTAAGCTTTCAAACCGTGCAAACAGCCTCAGATTTCTCTCGCTGTGCTTGTCTTCTGTTTGACTCCCTTCTCAAGCTACTCACAGGGATCCACATTGCCCCCCCCCCACCCCTTTCGTAATTCTGTCCTTCCCCACCCCTTTCGTAAATCTCCCCTCCCCCACCCCTTTCGTAATTCCCCCACTCCCACTTTTTTTCTAAAACGCGCTCGCCTATTTCTTCCCGTATTCACTAGCCTGGTTACGTAATTCTACGCTTTCGTCATATCCGTTCCTTAAGTGTATCTGGGAAGTTTAAATTTAGTTCAGGCTGGCTCTGATGGATAGCTACATGATATGACAACTCCTCTGGAAGACTTCTGCTGGCAAATATCCCAGCACATCCAGTAAGAGGGGAACTTACTCTAACATTGTTTTAAATCCACGGGTTTCTATTTTTGGAGTTCTGGAGTTGCCCGTTACACTTAATGGAGGTCTAGCTTTTCTCAGTGAGCGGGGATAACATAGGAGCAAGCGTAAACACAGGTTTGGTAAACAGGTTGTGTTTGATAGAGAGAGGACTAGTAAACCAAATTATGGATACATTTCGAAGATTGGAGGCATACAAGTAGACTAGAGTGCGGTTTAAAAGACAGACCTGAAACAGCACAGGATGGTCAATCTCACGAGTAACTATCGCAAACAGTTGATGTATATGGATATAAAAGATTCCAGTACAAATAAAGTACGAAATCGAAACTAGACCAAATCAAGGAGAAGCAGAGTACGTCATTTTAAGTGTTCTATTTGCCTCTTAGTCTTCCCTGACGAGGTTAGATGAGTTGGGTGTAGTGAGGTAGATAATGTGATCTTTTATAAGCGGGTTTTAAAGCAACCGATGCATGACTAACCACAGTGTCTGATCAGCTCCAATTGAAGTGCACTGACTGTGATTTTGTCAAATCGGTTGTTCAGGGTGAACAATATGAATGGCTTGAAGCAATTGAAGCAATAGAAATGGCATTATGGTTATATAGTTTAAAGCGTTTGTTATTTGTTCATTCTAGAACAAAATACATGGGGTAGAAACATTGTTTTTGGGACACGTTTTATCATAGCTAATTATATATTCATATTTGGACACACGACGGTCGTAAAAGCAGATGAAGTAGAGTTAATCCGTTTTATTTAACCTCGATCGACATATAAAAAGGATAATTTGGTCGTGAACTCGGCATGGGTAATGCTTTTGTGGTTTACGGTCTCCTATCAGAGCCAAGTGACCATCATAGGTATGTTGACCATAGCAACCATTTAGACTTTAGACCATCATAGCTATGTTGACCATAGCAACCATCATAGCTATGTTGACCATAGCAACCATCATAGCTATGTTGACCATAGCAACCATTTAGACTTTAGACCATCATAGCTATGTTGACCATAGCAACCATCATAGCTATGTTGACCATAGCAACCATCATAGCTATGTTGACCATAGCAACCATCATAGCTATGTTGACCATCAGAGGTATGTTGACCATAGCAACCATTTAGACTTTAGACCATCATAGCTATGTTGACCATCACAGCTATTTTGACCATCATAGCTATGTTGACCATAGCAACCATTTAGACTTTAGACCATCATAGCTATGTTGACCATAGCAACCATCAAAGCTATGTTGACCATCACAGCTATTTTGACCATCATAGCTATGTTGACCATAGCAAACATTTAGACTTTAGACCATCATAGCTATGTTGACCATAGCAACCATCATAGCTATGTTGACCATAGCAACCATCATAGCTATGTTGACCATAGCAACCATCACAGCTATTTTGACCATCAGAGGTATGTTGACCATAGCAACCATCATAGCTAAGTTGACCATCATAGCTATGTTGACCATAGCAACCATTTAGACTTTAGACCATCATAGCTATGTTGACCATAGCAACCATTTAGACTTCAGACCATCATAGCTATGTTGACCATAGCAACCATCATAGCTATGTTGACCATAGCAAACATTTAGACTTTAGACCATCATAGCTATGTTGACCATAGCAACCATCATAGCTATGTTGGCAATCACAGCTTTGTTGACCACAACAGCTATGTTGACCGTCATAGCTATGTTGACCATAGCAACCATTTAGACTTCAGACCATCATAGCTATGTTGACCATAGCAACCATTTAGACTTCAGACCATCATAGCTATGTTGACCATAGCAACCATCATAGCTATGTTGACCATAGCAAACATTTAGACTTTAGACCATCATAGCTATGTTGACCATAGCAACCATCATAGCTATGTTGACCATCACAGCTATTTTGACCATCAGAGGTATGTTGACCATAGCAACCATCATAGCTAAGTTGACCATCATAGCTATGTTGACCATAGCAACCATCATAGCTATGTTGACCATAGCAACCATTTAGACTTTAGACCATCATAGCTATGTTGGCAATCACAGCTTTGTTGACCACAACAGCTATGTTGACCGTCATAGCTATGTTGACCATAGCAACCATTTAGACTTCAGACCATCATAGCTATGTTGACCATAGCAACCATTTAGACTTCAGACCATCATAGCTATGTTGACCATAGCAACCATCATAGCTATGTTGACCATCACAGCTATGTTGACCATAGCAACCATTTAGACTTTAGACCATCATAGCTATGTTGACCATAGCAACCATCATAGCTATATTGACCATCACAGGTATGTTGACCATAGCAACCATCATAGCTATGTTGACCATAGCAACCAATTAGACTTCAGACCATCAAAACTATGTTGGCAATCACAGCTTTGTTGACCATAACAGCTATGTTAACCGTCATAGCTATGTTGACCATAGCAACCATTTAGACTAGACCATCATAGCTATGTTGGCAATCACAGCTTTGTTGACCATAGCAACCATTTAGACTTTAGACCATCATAGCCATGTTGGCAATCACAGCTTTCTTGACCATAACAGCTATGTTGACCATCACAGCTATGTTGACCATAACAGCTATGTTGACCATCACAGCTATGTTGACCGTCATAGCTAAGCTGACTCAGGGATGTCCTAGGAAATCAAACCAACTAAAGTTACAAAAGCTTTCTTTTACTGATCTCCTGGACCTACAAGTACCATCGACTACGTTGCATACACCACACAGTTACGTCTAGTACTAGCATTGCCCTTACAATCCACTCGACCTGACTCAAAACACTGAAAAAGACAACCCGCACCAACCCGCACCAACCCGCACCAACCCGCACCAACCCGCACCACCGACTCACACAAGCACCCATGTCACGCTGCTCACACGCACGTCCATTAAGGTCATCTCGACTGACCATCGGGGCCTGGGTTTGGGGGGGAGGCCTCATTAAAGCGGCCACTTCCGGTCTAATCGCATCTAACTTGTTGCCGCACATCCTTGCCCGGGGCGTGGTGGGGGGGGGGGGGGGGGGTCAGTGGGGGGGGGGGACAAGTTCTCTAAACGAAGAGGTCCCTAGCACCAAGTCTGGGTACGACCCTAATAAGGTCATTTTTTTTTCCTCTTAGCTCTTACAACTTTTTCATTTTATAGTTTTGGTTTGATTTGGCGTTCTTGTGTATGGGGGGGGGGGGGGGGTCAAATATACAGTCTATAGTTTTAAAAGCAAAATGTAGTTGATTTTTCTTTTAGTTAAGTTACACCATGCAAATTATCGGGATTGTTTTTAATGGGAAAAAATGTTGATGTTGTATGAATGACGAAGGGGAGAATGCCGATGTTGTATGAATGACGGAGGGAAAAAAATGTTGATGTATGAATGACGGAGAGTGACGAGTTACCTTACATGACCTTGGCACGAGGGAGGAAGTAGTGAAAGGAAATTGGGGTGACATTTAATTAGTGTCCACCTCCAACTTTTCACATCGACCTTCCCCCCCCCCTTCATACCAAACCTTACATCGTAAAGTAAAAGTTACGGAAATTTTCCAGTTTGTAGACTGTGTTTAGCTGGGATAAACATCAGGACGTGGCATGGAGTTGTGGACCAAAGCCAATGTAAATCATTTGCTAGTGTTAGGAATTTTTATGACAGCAGTTTTTTTAAATAGTGTTCATATGTGTATTATGTTTATACTGCGGTGATAGTGTATGATATATGTTATGTCTGATTATGTATGATTTAGTAATGATTGCGTCATAAAGCTGAGTAAACTCAGAGTACAATGCATGAAGAATAGCAGAGTCAAAGACGTGTAAACGGCGAGACCTCTGGTTCACGTTGACTCGATCTACCTCTCAACCAATCCCCACGTTGTTTACTTTTAAAAAGAATCCACGCGTTGTTTACTTTTAAAAACAATCCACACGTTGTTTACTTTTAAAAACAATCCACACCCGCACACATTGAGAGGGGATGGAGTGGTCTAGCGGTAGAGAGCTGGATGCTTACCCGTAAGTCTCGAGTTTGAATCCGGGTTCAAGTTAGTAGACCGTCCCTGAGTCCACCCAACTCTGATGGGTCCCTAACTCACGTTAGGGAGAGTAAAGGCGGCTGGGCATAGTGCTGACCACACTATCTCTTCATATGCCGAGGTCACAGAAACAAGTGAACTCTACTTCACTTGCCCTATAGACCGTCAGGTTTGAAAGGGAAACTTTTTTACACATTGAGAATCCCTGTGTCGAAAAATGTTCGGGTAAAGTGACTTTTTGCTTGTTCTCACTTTGGGTCAAAAGACTCATTACGGATTATTAGTTTTTTAAAATATATGTAAATTAGTACATCTGGGGGTTTAAAAAAATCCCAACTAAATATTCATAACACAATTCTAGACTGAGCTCGCTGAATAAAACCTTAAATTTTTTTGATGACATCACCACAACATACCGGTCAAATCGACATCGCATACCAGTCCCACAAATGACCAATCAAACGAACAAGTACGAAGTGCCCCCACCCCTATCTCTCCACCCCCCCCCCTCAGGGTATAACGCGAACATAAATCGAGGTTAATGCACAAGTTGTGTCGAACAGGTCGGAACAAGCATCAAAACGCGATAAGGGCCCATGCTGGGTTTTAATTAGTGACGTCGTCTGATGAGGATAAAGGCTAATTACCGTCCCACCGTCTGCCACTCACTCAGGTCCCTGACCCTAAGGTCGTGAATACATTATGATAATATCGTGAATACATTATCATAATATCGTGAATACATTATGATAATATCATGTGAGAAACAGAAATTCTGTAGACATTTATGATTCGCCGTCTAGCACTCGCGCCCTTGAACCCGAATGCCAGAGTTCGGTACCCAGGGGTCGGGGGGGGGGGGACTGCTTTCTCATAAACGCCTCCTCCGACACAATACACCCAACCCCTTACATCTACTCCATGTTGTTTATAAAATAAATACAACTGCTCAATCTAAAAAAATGTACAATTAGGCGCTTAAAAATAATACATTAATTATATTGAAATAAGTAAATTGCTTGGAAAAAGAGAGAGAGAGAGAGATGGTAGGGAGGGTAGAGGAAAGGGAGGCGTGGAATGGGAGGGGAGGAAGGGTAGGGATGAATCCTGGCAACAGGGCGTAACTTTAAGCTAAGCCAAACGTCTGTGACGTCAGTTGTAATAAGACTGACAAGTGTATGACAGGTCGTGATTGACAGTGGCGCTGTCAGGTGGATTCAGCGCACGGTATTAATGCAGGTAGGTTCACTAATTAGGTGCCCCAACTGGACTTGACATACCCTAGACTTGTCATACCCTAGACTTGACATACCCTAGACTTGACATACACTAGACTTGACATACAAGACCATAGACTAACAATATATATATATATATATATATATATATATATATATATATATATATATATATATATATATATATATATTAATATATATATTAACTTAATGTATTAACTGTATATATTTATATACAGTTAATACATTAAGAAAAAAATAAGTATGTAATTATATGTTAAACTATATATACATATATATATATATATATATATATATATATATATATATATATATATATATATATATATATATATATATATATATATATATATATATATATATATATATATATATATATAGATGATATAGATGTATATATTACTTATGTATATTTATTTAAAAGTAAACAAATGGTTATAGATCTATACATCCATGCATATGTATCGTATTTTAATTCCAATGGAAAATATCACGTTTTTTACTTATTCCGATTCTCGGAATTTCCCCTCAGCTTTTAAACATCTTATTTCAACCCCCTCCCCTCCCTCACCTCAACTTTTCAATTACATCACTCCTCTACCTCTTAAGAAAAATACTACACGCCTGGAGAAGGAGGGGAGGGGGGAAGTCATCGAAAAGATTCACTTGTCAAATGCCACATGTCAAATGTCAGGAGACAAATCACTCTTCAACCGCATGACTCTGATCCTCCCGCTGTTGTCTTGCACGTCACACGATCGCGTGTATGACGTCACCCCCCCCCCCCCCCCCTAGAGTGCATGCGCAGACTCACGGGTCAATCGTTCTCAACCCGTCCCACCTGTACGACAGGTTTGTCTTCTAATACTGCCCCACCCTCGGAATTCTAGACAAGAACTGTACCCCCCCCCGACCCCTTCCTACACAGCTCAGTAAATTCTAAACCTCAATCTTACCCCATCCCCCACCTCACCCCGTCCCTATAGATAGCTCTAAATCAACTTCCACCTTACAGTTATTTGTTTAAACTATATATAAAGATGAAAATCGACGCCAAAAACAGGTGAACTCTACTTCAACTATCTCGTTTAGGTTCTCTTCATTATAATCCATACTTCAAAATTTTTCGTTTGTACAAAAGCAATATTGTTTTTTAAAACAAAATCAACTTT